CCGTCCCCCTAACCGTGCTGTCTGGAGCACCGGTGGCTGGCAGCCGCGCCGCCCATTTGGAGCCAGCCACACAGCACAGAGCATCGGTTCAGGCCAGGCTCTGCAGCTGTGCTACCCCAGGAGCTCGCCACCCAGAGCATTGTGCCGGCGGCGGGGCGAGTTGAGGCTGCGGGGGAGGGGAAACAGCGGGGGAGGGGAAACAGCGGGGGAGGGGCTGGGGGCTAGCCTCCCTGGCCAGGAGCTCAGGGGCTGGAGAGAACGGTCCCGCGGATCGGATGGGGCCCGCGGGCTGTAGTTTGCCCACCTCTGCCTTAGAGGTTTACAGGTGAGAAAGCGAGGAGGGTGGTTGTCTCTCATTAGCCCTGGGGCTTTCATTTTCTCTAGCGTTTGTTTGAACTGACTTCTTTCTTTATTGATCATTTCTAGGGCAGTGGGTTTCCCGTCACTCTGGTTTCTGGGTTAAAAGCTTTAACTTTTTAAGGTCCCCCCGCCCCCAAAAACATTAAAAAAAAAAGTTTGGGTTTTGTCACTCCCTTTGCTCTGATCAGCCAACCCACTAATGAACTTGAACTCCAGGTCCCCACTGACAGAACACAGTGAAGCAAAATGTTGGAGTGAGGTGGGTGTCCCTCCTGGGCCTTCCAGTTCCCTGCAGTTGGCCCCTCAGGAGGTAGGGAGGGGAAACAGCACGGGAGGATACAAAGAAAGGGATGGTGGGAAGAGATGAGAGAAAAATTGCACGTAACCAATTTTCATCAAATTTTCTGTGATTACCTGTGATTTCCGCCCCACCAAATTTCACATGATGAACCCCCCCGAATCATTTCTTTCTGTTTCCTCTTCAGTAGTCTCTTCCAGCCTGCCATACCTCAGGCCAAACCCTCTAGAAATGTGGGCGGTAGGAGCCAAGCTCTTTTCAAAGCCCAGCTTGAGTCTGTGGTCTGAGATGGGGCACTTCCTCCTCCCCCTCCTCCACTGGAGTGTGTGATTCTGAGGTTAGGGTGGGAGTTCTCCCCGAGCCAAGCTCCAGGGAGGCCCCACAATACTGAGTCTTTGACCATCTGGTGATGGAGCAGTGAGTAGCATTTCAATGGCCTTGAGGTCCCCTCCAGTGGGATGGGCATGTTGGGTTTTGATTCCCCTGGGCACCTGTTTCAAGTGACATACACCATGAGCTTTAACAGTAAATTAAGATCCCCTTTATGTATCAGTTCTGCCTGCCCAATTTCAGATGTCACCAATCCCCATAGGTGCATGCTAAAAAATGCTGCACATAAACATGTTCTTGGTTAAGTTGCTTTGGGTGCTTTACTTGTGTAATGGTGAGGTCATCTTAACTAAATGTGGCGCCAATGACATGTTGTTGATATTTTAAGCAGGGGCTGCTACCAGATTTCTCCCTTAGCCGGGGCTAAATCCCATGTACCAGAGGTATGGCGTACACTTGCAAGGAGAGGACGTGGTGCAGATGACTGGAGAATCTATCGGTCTGCTTCCCCTCTTTGAACGAGAATGTTTTCTTTTAAGCATAGCTAAGGAGGGGAGCAACATTGCTTGGCAAACCCATACTCTGTGCCCTTCACTGGAAAGGTCTATTCCTCGCTCTTGAAAAATATCCTGAGTATAGTATTCTTGTATGACAATTTTTGGTTCTGGTAGTGGCCACGGTATGTTGGACGCTTTCCAAACAGAAAAGAAGGAATTGTCCTTATTCCAAAGAGCTCACACCCGAAAAGACAGACAGAGGAAGGGTAGGGGAAATGAATACACCATAAACCAGAGGTGGGCAAACTACGGCCCACAGATCACATCCAGCCCGCGGGGCCCGGCCCCGGAGCTCCTGGCCCGGGAGGCTAGCCCCCGGCTGCTCCCCTGCCGATCTCTCTCCCCTGTAGCCTCAGCTCGCTGCGCTGCCGGCGCAATTAGGGTGACCAGACAGCAAGTGTGAAAAATCGGGACAGGGGGTTGGGGGTAATAGGAGCCTATATAAGAAAAAGACCCAAAAATCGGGACTGTCCCTATAAAATCGGGACATCTGGTCACCCTAGGCGCAATGCTCTGGGCAGCGGGGCTGCGAGCTTCTGGGGCAGCGCAGCTGCAGAGCCGTGGCCTGACCCGGTGTGCTGTGCGGTGGCGTGGCTGGCTCCAGCCGGGCGGCACGGCTGACTGTCCTGGTGCTCTGGGCGGCGTGGCTGTAGCACCGCCAGCCACCGGTGCTCCAGGCAGCACAGTAAGGGGGCAGGGAGCAGGGCTGGGGGTAGGTTGGATAGAGGGAAGGGGAGTTTGGGGGGTTGGTCAGGGGGTGGGGGTGTGGATAGGGGTCGGGGTGGTCAGAGGGCGGGGAACGAGGGGGGTTGAATTGGGGCAGGGAGTCCTGGGTGGGAAGTCAGGAAGGAGGGGGGTTGATCGGGGGCGGGGGTGTGGATAGGGGTCAGGGTGGTCAGAGGGCGGGGAACGGGGGTTGAATTGGGGCAGGGGTCCTGGGGGGCAGTCAGGAAGAATGGGGGGGGGTTGGATGGGGCGGCGGGGGGCCAGTCAGGGCCAGGAGATCCGAGGGCAGTAAGGAGACAGGGAGAAGGGGTGGTTGGATGGGGCAGGGGTCCTGGGGGAGCAGTCAGGAATGAGAGGAGGGGTTGGATGGAGCGGCTGGGGGCAGTCAGGGGTGGGGTTCCAGGGGTGGTCAGGGAATAGGGAGCAGGGGGGGTGATGGGAGAAGAGGGGTTGGATGGGGCAGGAGTCCTGGGGGGGGGCTGTCAGGGGGCGAGAAGCAGGGGGGTCAGATGGGGCGGGGCGGCACGCTGGCTGTTGGGAGGC